AAAGTTGTTGTAAACACGCAACTTTCCCGTGTTGATCATTTTTTCATACTCGCAACAATTTTAAAAGTTTTTCATCTGAAATTCATTCAGCGTAGAAGTTGAACTTCATGTTTTTTTTCACGTTGAACTTCTGTGACGTATTTTTGTTTGTACGCGTGCCTGAACTTCTCTTTGTACGAACCCGACCTTCGGGCTATCTTCGCAACCGTGCCTTCTACCGCGAGTTTTTCTGGTTAGTCGTGTTCCATGTGATGTAAGTGTAATCTTCAAACGATTTTTAGCAACTAAATACCCGTTTTAGATAGGAATCTCGCTTGTTGGCGGATTTTGCTCTCGGGTTGTGATGAAATTGCGTTTTTTGTGATTTTACTGCCTGAGTTGTTCGACCTGAACTTCCCCGTGTGCTTAGTTGAACTTCCCGCAACATTGCCCAAATAGAACTTGCGATATACCGTTGGAAAGCTATGGACACGAGTATCATGACCCAACTTAAATTTTTCGGAAAATATAAGCGGTTTAAGAGCAGTTTTGAAAACCATTTTTTTTAAAACAAAAAACGTGAATCGTATTTTTTATCGCATTTCTAAACCGTTTATCGGTATGAGGCATATAATATGGCGTTGGAAATCTGCTGCAAAACCGCTCCTTCCACATGTTGAAAGTTTCCTCTAATTCCCAACGGTTACAGAGTAATTTGAAAAAACATAAAATTTTGCAAACCGAACAGCCGAGTTCGTATTTTCAATGTCATTTGTGAACGACTAATCCAATTGACGCATATGATATGGCATTGGAAAGCTTATGAAATGCACTACGTTTTCATTTTGAAAGTTTTTTCTAATTTTGAACAGTTTAAGAGTAATTTAGAAAATGGTACAAGCCGTACCGAGTTTGTATTTTCGTGTTCATTTTTTAACCGTGCGTTCAAATGCAGCAAATAATATGGCGTTGGAAAGCTTGAACAAATGCGAAACTTTTTTATATGTATTGTTTCTCCCAATTCTTTATAGTTTTAAGTCAGTTTTGAAAATGGCGAAAAACGTATTTTCGCCATATTTTCTACAAACTTTATCAGAATGATGCAAATAATATACCGTTGAAAAGCTACGGAAAATGCGAAACTTTTTCATGTTGATTATTTTCTCTGATTCCTAGCCGTTTTCAAGTAATTGCGAAAATGGCAAGATCATTCATTCTGCCTTTATCGCGAAATTGATTCTTCGAAAATGCACCGCGTGAAGAACCTGAACTTCTCGGCACGTGTACTTGAACTTCACTCTGTTTTTCATGTGCTTTTTTGGCTCGCAGCTCTCCACCCACTCACCGAAATTGAGCAAGTGATATACTGATGGAAAGCTGCTGTAAACACGCAACTTTCCTGTGTTGATCATTTTTTCATACTCGCGACGGTTTTAAAAGTTTTTTATCCGAAATTCATTCAGTGTAGTAATTGAACTTCCTGTTATTTTCACGTTGAACTTCTTGTTGTTTTCACTCTGACGTATTTTTCATAACGAGGAAAATCCGAGTTTTCTATAATCATCGAACTTCTCCATCATTTTAATATGGTCTTCTTGGTTTTATTTTTAATCACTTTTTATGAATAAAATATTTTAAAACACCAAAACAACATTTTTGTGTGTGTTTTTTGCATTGGTTTGCACATCAAACCGCATCATCTTTAGAAATTAAACTTCTCATTTTCTTTTTTATTTTCTTTCAACAATGTTTAGCACGTCGAACCACGTCATCTTTAGAAATTGAACTTCTCCTTTCTTTTTTGTTTTCTTTCAACATTGTTTAGCATGTCGAACCGCTTTATCTTTAGAAATTGAACTTCTCCTTTCTTTTTTGTTTTCTTTTAACATTGGGTTGCACGTCGAACTGCTTCATCTTTAGAAATTGAACTTCTCATTTTATTTTTGTTTCCTTTCAACATTGGTTTACACGTTGAACCGCGCCATCTTTAGAAATTGAACTTCTCCCTTTTTGTTTTCTTGCATGTTTAAATTTATTTTGAACTTGCTGAGATAACACACTTGACCTTCTCGAACACAACATTTTGACCTCCGAAAAACATAAATTAAAGCCAAACTTTTGACCTACAGAGCATGTATAATTTTCTCCACTTTTTCAAGAATAAGCGCTGAATCCCCCCGTTAGTTTGACTTGAACTTCTGCTGGACATGAATAAGCTGTTGAAAACACGCAACTTTCTTGCTCCGTTATTTAAATTTGAACTTCTAGTTTTTTAAGAAACGGGAATTTTTTAAAACTTTCTTACTTGTTCCTTTTATTCTCATTTGAACTTCTAGTTTTTTATAATGGGGATTTTTTCATAAATTCTTTTGAAATGTTCCTCTTTTTAATTTGCACTTCATCGTTTTTTACAAACGATAAAAATCCATTTTTATAATGGGTTTTGTAGTACTTTTTCATTTGAACTTATTGCTCAATTTTTTACAAGGTGAACGTCTCTCTTAAGAATTTTTGAACTTTCCCGGACTGAGCACTTGAACTTCTTTCAACAAACATTTTAAGCTTTTATTTTTATATACTTTTATTCTCACCCGAAATGCATTCCTTGCAGTAGTTGAACTTCTCGTTGTTTTCACCTTAAACTTCCATCATGCATTTTTGTTCAACCTCTCTCACAAAAAAATTTGAACTCTTTCGGGCTGAGCACATGAACTTCTAGCAACATAACTTTAGGCTTTGCATTTTCATTCTCTTTTTAATACAAAATGCACACCGTGTAGTACGTGAACTTCTGGCAGTTATCAATCTGAACTTCTGAGATCATGCGTACTGCCTTCATCGAAAAAACAGAGTCTCCGAAAATGCACTTCGTGAAGAGGTTGAACTTTTGGAGTAGTTCTTTTTGAACTTCACTCTGTTTTTCGCGTGTTGTTTTTTATCGTAACTCCCCAACCACTTACCGGAATTGAGCAAATGATATACCGATGAAAAGTTGTTGAAAACAGGCAACTTTGTCGTGTTGATAATTTTTTCATACTCTTGACAGTTCAAAAGAATTTTTTTCAATACATCAAAATGTGTTTTAATTGGTATACATGAAACTTTTAAACCATACATTAGAATGTAGCATATAATATATCGTTGGAAAGCTTATGAATGGGAGCAACTTTTTCATGTAGACAAGTGTTACCAATTCGTCGCCGTTTGAGGGCAGTTTAAAAAATGGCAAAAAAGTTGTTGTTTTTCCTCTCTTTTTAAACATGTAATTGAAGGTCGGACGTCTCGTAATATAATTTTTGAACCATGCAGGGTAGAGCACGTGAACTTCTTGCAACAAACACGACAAAGTAGTTGAACTACTCGTCTCGTAATATAATTTAGGCTTTTAATTTTGTATTATTTTATTCTCATCCGAAACACATTCCATATAGTAGTTGAACTACTCGTTGTTTTCGCGTTGAACTTCAGCCATGTATTCTTCAAAAAAATGTTTTTAAATAAGCATCAAACCAATCCTTTATTTTAATGAATTTCTTTAATTTTATCCTTTAGTAACCAGGAAAATTTAAGTTTTTTTATAAATATCAAACTTCTCTATTTTTATAATTTGGACTTCTTGGTTTATTTGAAATACTTTCTTTTTTCTGTTTTTTGAAACAGTAAAACAATGCTCTTTTTATAAAAAATAAACATCAAAGTCATGTGTTATGTTAATTTGAACTTCTTGCTTTTCTTTAGACACGATTTTTGTTTATTATAAACATTGACCTGCTATGTATCTGAAATTTGAACTTCTACATTTAGTTTCAGAGATGGAAAATATTGTCTACTGTTTTGTCTTTTAACTTATAGGCTTTTTGGGGTTTTCTGAACTTCTAGAGTTTTTTTTAGCAAACTCTTCTATTTTTCGTAAAATGCCTTTTGGCTTGTTTTTTAACGCCAATTTTTCTTCTCTTTTTTTCCAACCTTCTATCGCTTTGTATAAGTGAACTTCTTCAGAACATAATGTTTGAATTTCCTTGAGGTTTTCTTGTCAACTAGATGCACTCATTTTCGTGGTATTAAAAATAACTGGCACGCTAGGGAGGGTCGAATATTGCCGACCATGAAGTAGATGAACCTTGTCCAACGTAATAGTTGGACTTCTGTTAACTCCAGATTTCCTTTCCAACAACATTACATGGGCATAGTTAAAGTCATCGCTCGCATCAGGCATTGTTGCAGATCGCAGGCACACGCACACACTCATGTTGATTGGGTCATGGTGTGAACAGGAGCATCTTGTGTGGTGTTTAGGTCTTCAGCATTAGTCTAGCGATAGTAGAGCTTAGCTCTCCAGCATTAGCAACAACAACACGTACACAGAAATGCCAAACATATTTTTTTGAAGGCTACTACTTAATAAATGGATTCAGCTGGCATTCAAATTAGACCGAAGAATTAGTGTAGGGTTGCAGTCTGAAACAAGATGCAGCAAAGTCACACGAATTACTCAGTACGTGCATCAGTGACTTGATTAAAACAAGAAAAGAGAGAGCTCGGTGCAGGTCATACTAAAATGAAGCAAAGAATATATTAAGATAGAGATCCATTAGCCACAACCAAATGCATTCACGAGAAACAAATAACTAAAGAGGATAGCACCATCGCATTAGAACTTCTTCAGGTTCGTTCATGAGCTCAAATTTTTCCTCACTCAAACCTTTGTACAGTGAGGAGGCGGTGGCATCGTAGCATGCAAGCCAGCAGAGGGAGAGGAGAACCAGGAGCGCCGCGCTGTTGTCGTTGATGAGTGAACATGCACACTAAAACATGACTATATGCATCCGGTTCAAAAAAAGGTTAGAACATCTTATATTTGTAAAGGGAGAGAGTAACACACACCACAAAATGAATACGGGGCTGCACCTGCGACATGCCTAAGGAACCCAGGGTCCGCGAACTTCTCCACCCATACAAAATCATCGTATAAAGAGTGGTAAACAGGATATTCTGGCCCTGTCAATGTCCAAGGAGCACCATTAGAGATACGAGAAACTGTAAAAATAAACAACACGAAGTGCGCCCCTACCTTCTCCAAATATCAAGTTGGTGGATGGAATGCCAACATGTTGAACGAATGCTGCATAGTCTGATCCTCCATTGCCCAGTCGTTGAACCTTCATGCAGGATATCAGAGACAATATATGTTAACTACAGTAAATAGCTAGGAACATTTTCAGAGTTGGAGCTGAAATTCAGAAATGAAGATTTAGAGTTGAAGCTGCAGGTTTCATTTTACGCACAAAGGAACCCAGAGTTTGACAGCAATCAGTACTATATATCGCAAGTGATAACGGTGTGCTAAATGTATAAGGAAGTCATGTTATAACTCACCTTGGGAGAAGCATTGGGTTTGACCCATGAATCATAAACAGTTTGAGATGAATTATCGGGGTCTTGAACCTTCATGAATTGAAAAAACAGAACGTTTTGACTTATTGACAATCTTGTTATTAATAAGAAAAATAACATAAGCATGATATTGTCAGAGACATGTGGTTCAAAGTTGAGACACCCACTGTAGAGTGTCAACCACTCAACAGTTACTCTTTTGTTTGACCAAAACCAAATAACTGACTATCAGTTAGTACTCTTTTGTATGTGAATATGTTGCTTTTTGTTCGAACAATATGCGTACCAGTTTAATTGTTTCCAGTAGTAGTTCATCAAGTTGGGGAGTTGTAGATGGGAGTAAAACCGGACCGACTACTGAAACATCGATATTCAGATATGCAACAGCCCTAGAGGAAAGCATCTCCCAGTTTTCTTCAACCCATTCAGTTGATCATGTCTGCATAAACATAAATTGTGATCCATTGCAGCTGCTTTTAAGGTGCCTACGTATGTATAACAAACGAATGTGGTGCTGGAAGAGGGATCCACTTACCAATCCGTACTCTTTCTGCATCCCAGCTACAGAAAATGATGCAGAGTTCAGAGGAAAGAGCAGCCTACTGGATTGCTGTAAACATCTGTTATAACACAAGAATCACCTCGACCATAGCTGCTCCGAACTTCTCTATGCCTGTCTTGCGTGCACACGCGTGTGAAGAAAGCGTGTTCTTCTTTTAGCTTGGCTTCTCCTCACACCACATGTGGCTGTCGTGCGCACGCAAGCACCAACGACGAAGAAGTTCTAGGCAGAAGAGGAAGATGTCCATGGTGCGCCAACGACGAAGGATGATGTCTGGGGATGGGGCTCCTGGACGGCGCGCTTGGGGCTGGCGGTGGACGCCGGCGCTTGTATGCGGGGAGGAGGGGTGCTGACGGTGGCTGGATCGAGGGGCGGGTGCAGCGCAGCAGTCGGATCCAGGCGTGGGGCGACGCGGCGGCCGAACCCAGGCGTGGGGCAGCGCCGGGGGCTGCTGCCAGGGGCCGGATCCAGGCGGGGGCAGCTCCAGCGCGGATGGAAGGCCGCCGGCGGCTGCCACAGTGGTCGGCGAAGTGGGAGGTGGTTGGCCGCGGCAGGGGATCAGGCCGCGGCGGTCCCCAGCGGATCCCTTGCGGAGGAGTTGGCCACCGCGGGTGGCGGCGAATCCGGGGAGGAACCGGTGGTCAGGGAGGAGGCGACGTCTGCTGGGGGTGGGGCGAGGGCGGCAGCGCCGGTTGCGGGCGGGGCGGCAGCGGAGGTGCCGGTTGTGGGCGGGGTGGGTGCGGGAAAGTGGGAATCGTGGGGTGTTTCTTGGTTGTACCGTTAAGGAGTCCAGGAACACCGTGCGCCTCCTATATAGAGCGTCGTGATCAGAATAGCTATTCTGACACCATGATCATAATAGTGTTGTCCTAATAGAAACAACATAAAGTTTCTGTTAACATTTCTGCGCTGCATCCCTATCAAACGAGCACTGCACTGTCGCCAGAAAAAACTGCATGTATTTTTTCGGCATTATTTTCACTCCAGTTTCTAAACTGTTTGGCGGAACGAGGCCTATAATATATCGTTGGATATCTATGGAAAATGCGCAACCTCGTTATGTTGAACACTTTTCGAGATTTATCGTGGTTTAAGAGCAGTTTCAAAAATAGTTCGCGCATGACGGAATGCAATGAGCGTATAATCGCGATTTTTTCTTAGCCACACATTAGAATGAAGCAAACGACACGGCGTTGGAAAGATATCATTGAGACGCATCTTTTTCGTATCTATTATTTTCTCTAATTCGTTACAGTTTAAGAGCAGTTTCAAATTTACTAAATCACGGAATTATGTTTTTCAAAATTTTCAAATTTTCGGTACTGTGTTTGCTCCAGTTTTCTAACCGTTTGTAGAAATGAGGCGTGTGATACGCCGTTGGAAAGCTACGGACGAGGCACAACTTTCATATGTTGAAATGATTTTGAGATTCCTTACGGTTTTTAGTTAATTTTCAAAATCGTGCGCTGATGACAAGTGGCTGCGGCCGTTTTTCGCAAAATTTTACAAACCGTTGGTCGAAATGATCCAAGTTACACGCCGTTGGAAATATATCAATGAGACGCAACTTTTTCATGTATAACACTCTTTCCGATTCCTTACGGTTTAAGAGCAGTTTTGATTTTAACGAAATGCGGACACTATTTTTTTGCAACACCGAAATCATTGAGGAACTGCATCAGACAGAAGAACGAACTGCTTTTAGACTAAAAATCGCACTGCATCAGATGGGCAAACGAACTGCATCATTTTTTTTATCGGACTAGTATTTTCTAAGACGAGGAAGTGATGTGCGGTTCACATCGGGCGTAAGTGAACCACATCAAGCGAAAAATGAACCGAGACACAAGTCTAAGTGTACCGTATGATTTTTCTTTCTCCTTTTCTAACTTGTTTCATAGGGTTAAGTGGACCATATTTGTCAATATTAGTGTGCTGCATCAGACGGGCAAGTGCACTGCATCGTTTCCTTTTGTCAGGCGTAAATTTTCTTCGAGTTTTTGTTGTCTTTTTTTCTAACTTTTTTGCGAACGAGAGTGGACCGCAGAAACAAGAACAAGGGAACCTCGACATATATCAAAGTGAACCATCAATGTTGATGAAGTGACCTGCATGTTCTTTTTTTTACATCATTGTCGTCTGCTCTGAACTTCATAACATGGGAATAGTGCACTGCACCGAATAAAACTGAACCACTTTTTGGGACAAAAGTGAACCTCTTCGATAAAACAAATATCATAAAAAAATCAGGTAGTAAAAAAGTATTTGACCGCACCACACAACCATACGAACTGCATGGGCTACATCCGTCGTTGACCTGGGACTCTGCGCATTACATACAGGCATACATGTATGCAACAGAGAAAAATCTACCTTATAAAACAGGACACCATACAGGCATACAGACATATGCAGACTCACACACACACACACACACACACACACACACACACACACACATTACCGTCCACCATGCCAAATTCAGCAATGAAGCACCATGAGCTATAAACCGCACTGCCAATGCATAACCAAAACTAAATGTAATAACATTATTTTCACCAGAGAAACTTAGTTAGAGTGCAATTTCTGAAGTTTCTGAACACACAAAAAACTCCAAACTACACTGCATCACTGGAATGTGTAAAAACTCCAAAGTGCATAGCCCGACGCCCTCCTGTGCCCATGGGATGGGCTGTAACAGCAGGCAAAATCGACTACATGGAGAATGGCTCCATGATCTATGGTGTGGACGACGTCGACGACCGAAACAAATTGCGTCATGGAATGGGGCGCTGCGGGTGATCTACAGATCGAGGAGGAGAGACATGCGGGGGAACAACAAAGTGAGCTGCAAGGGAATACTTATTTTAGTTGAAAACAACAAAGTGAGCTGCGAAAAAGGAAGAAGTGCTAAAGGGCGCCCGTGTGCACTGCAAAAGTAGTTTGACCGACCGGCGAGCAGAGGAAGCAGGGCAAGGGAGGCCAGGCGAGATCTTGGGATCATGGTGCTTGTCGACGTGGGGAGGGACCGCCGTGGGATCTATAGTGTAAGGCAGGCACCACGACATCGACCTGGGCTCCCTCCATCGATCCTCGCCGGGGCGGTGTGGATCCGGGGTTAGGGGAGGTTTGGCCGCGCCGCCGGCCAGGCTGATCTTCAGGAGGAGCATGACCCCGCGTTGCTGCAGCAAGGACCGCCGCCGCCCCGTCGAGATCCAGCTCCTAGCATGCCTCCATGGATCGGGTCGCCATCGCCGGATGTCGCGGCTGGGGCTGGTGGTGGCCGCACAGGGGCACGTTTGCCGGCCCGGACCCGTCGCCTTGAGGTGGAAGAAGGTGGGGAGGGGACGAGTGGTGCAGGGCGCCGGCGGTAGAAGATGCAA